GGTGGGTGGTCCTTGGACTTCCCACAGGGCAGAGAACCCTGATTGCTTTTTGGGCTGACAAGGGAGGGGGACTTGATTGGGGGAGGGGGAGGGAAAGGGGAGGCGGCGGTGGGGAAGAGACAGAAATCTTTAATAAATAAATAAATTAATTAAAAAAATAAAAATGTATTAATCTGCCTTCAGGTTCCTACCCTACTGCATTTAATGATCAACTGTGATATGAAAATGGAAGCTAAGTTTCTTACCTCCCCAAGTTGCTTTTGGTCATGGTGTTTAATCGCAGCAATAGAAACATTAAGACATGGATAGATGTGTTCTTATCAAAATCTTTTTTCTTATGTATACAGTGTTTTGCCTGCATGTATGTCTGCAGGCTAGGAGAGGGCCCAGATGGTTGTGAGCCACCATGTAGTTGCTGGGAATTGAACTCAGGACTCTGGAAGAGCAGCTTAACAGCTTCCACACAGCCGGGCGGTGGTGGCGCACACCTTTAATCCCAGCACTTGGGAGGCAGAGGCAGGCAGATCTCTGTGAGTTCGAGACCAGCCTGGGCTACAAGAGCTAGTTCCAGGACAGGCTCCAAAACCACAGAGAAACCCTGTCTCAGAAAAAGGAAAAAAAACAAAAACAAAACAAAAAAACAGCTTCCACACATTATTTTTTCCCCTTTCCCTTAAGTTGAGATCTTGTACTTTTGACTTAAAGGAAGCACTTTGTGGCTTCCTGTTAGTATATCCAAATTGCCAGCATCATTTTAAGTACAGTAAGGGTTACTCAAACACAAGCACTATGAGGGTTGATTTGAAAATATTTCAGGGCCAGGTGGTGGTGGCACAGGCCTTTAATCCCAGCACTCGGTAGGCAGAGGAAGGCGGATCTCTGGGAGTTCGACGCCAGCCTGGTCTACAAGAGCTAGTTCCGGGACAGGCACCAAAGCTACAGAGAAACCCTGCCTCGAAAAATAAAAAAGAAAAAGAAAAAGAAAAAGAAAAAAGAAAAGAAAATATTTCAAACCACATTGCACCTTGGGTAACTGAAACTCCATAAAAGTGAAGCCTTTAGTAAATGCTGTAAAAACAAAACAACAACAAGCTGTTAGTATCCTTAAGCTATACACTTTTTTTTTTAAAGACAGATCTCACAGTGTAACTTTGATTGGCTTGGAACTCACTGTGTAGACCAGACTGGCCATGAACTCAAAGATTCACCTGCCTCTGCCTTCCAAGTGCAGAGATTAAAGGCATGTACCACCATCACCCAGCTAAAGTTGTGTGCATTTTTTTTTAATTTTGTGTGAATGAATGTTGTGGTGGTTTGAATGAGAATAGCCCCATAAGCTCGTCTGTTTGCATGTCTACTCCCACTTGGTGCACTGCTTGGAAAGGTGAGGAGGTGTGGCCTTGTTGGAGGAAGTGTGTCACTGAGGTGGGCTTTGAGGTTCCAAAAGCACATACCAGGTCCAGTGCAGTATCTGTCTCTCTCTGTCTGTCTTTCTCTCTTTTTTCTTTTTTCTCTCTCTCTGTCTCTCTGTGCCTGCTGCCTGTGAATCAGGATGTAAAACACTGCTACTTCTCCAGCATTATGCCTGCCTGTCTGCCACCATGCTCCCTGCCTTTATGATTATGACCAACCCTCTAAAACTGTAAGCAAGCCCCCAATTAATGCTTTCTTATATAAGAGTTGCCTTGGTCATGGTGTCTTTTCCACAGCAATAGAAAGTAACTAAGGGGTGTGTACATGTATGTGTGTCCACAAATGTATGTACATGCCATGTCACACATGTTTGGAAGTCAGGTGACTACCTTCAGGAGTCTGTTTTTCCTTCTATGATGTGGGTCCCCAGGATTGAATTCAGGTCTTCAGGGGTTGACAGCACCCACTGAAGCTATCTCACCAGTCTGGCCTGCCTGTCTTCTTTATCACAGGACATTGCTTTGCAATCTACTAATGAAACTGAGACTAGCCTCAACCTTAAAACTCCTACCTTAGCCTCACAAGGGCTAGAATTGTAGGCATGAGCTACCAAATTCAATTAAGATTTTAAATGCATTATAATAACTTGTTTCATACCATGTTGATCCCACAGCTAGAACTAGAATGTTGGGGATATTGTGTCTTATTACGTCTATTTATAGTAACTATTACTTCCAAACACCTTCTCCCATCATCTCAGATAACTTCTAAAATTCTAAGTGACTTTTTTCTGCTTTTGTTCTGACCAGTTTTCTAAAATAGATGTTTCACTTTCATAAACAACAGTTTAGATGAGAGTTAATAGTCTGAACAGTGGAAAGCAGATGAGACATAAATTCTGCTGTGTATTCAAAATAGAGCCTGACACAGCTAAAACACTTTGTAAATATTAACTCTTTATCTGATTCAACAATCCTGTGATAGGTACGTTGGTGTAGCAAATGGTAAAAATAACACAAAAGATAAAGTTAGGTGTCTATATTCTGAAACAAATGAGGAAAAAATTAAAATTCAGAAACAAATGCTCTCCTTTTTTGTCCTCCCTCCTAAAACAAGATGTCACAGCCCAGACCAGCTTCAGATTCATGATGTAGCCAGGCAAGGCTTGCCTTAAACTCCTTATCCCCCTGCCTCCACCTCACCCCCTGAGTGCTGGGTTGGGTGTGTAGCATCACACCTGGTCACATCTTCATCTTTCATTGAAACGGCACAAACATCCTTCAAGTAGTGGAGACTACGTGAATTATGGAAAATACATTGTAATAGCTAAAAATGTGGAAATTAAATTAATCAAATAAGTAGGTAAGTTTGAGCCAATTAGGAGCTTGAAAAGTGTTTTTTATTTTGTGTGCCATATTTAATTATCCTCCACTTTGAAAATATTTGCATTATGCAAAATGTTTTTGCCCACTAGTATTTTGTTTTTGCTCAAGATAAATGAATATATATTTATGCATATAAAATATTTGCAATGCTAGAACATTCCTACTAAGATAGAAGAAAGCCAATGTCCTAAAATGGGAAACTTTGGTTCTCCCTAGTGTTGCACTCTTTAGTTTTGGGGAGTCACAAGTGTGCTACAGGGTCTAAGATAAAAAGAGCAGTTCTAAACTATGATTTAGTGGATTTCTCTTTGCTGTCAAAAGCAATAGGACGGAGTTAATAAAAAAGTATATGCTAAAAACCTCTTTTTCCTAGTAGGTATGGCGTTTCCAGAAGAGACAAACAGATCTTCTTATCACTTTTTATAAGGATAGAATTACAAAATTAGAAGCAGCTGTGAAGGAGGCCCAGCAAACAATGACTAGCCAAAACAAGTAAGTACCGAGTCAGACCTAGCACGTTTTCTTTCTTTTAGTAAAGCTGTAGTAATTTCCAGATGTAAGGACTGAAAATTGCCCTGTGTGTTCATGTTTGTTTTAAGAAAGTCAGGTACAGCCTGGTAATGGTGCATGCCTTTAATTCTAGCAGTTGAGAGGCAGAGACACCCGGATCTCTGTCAGTTCAAGGTCAGCCTGGTCTACAAGTTCCAAGGAAAACAAAGAAACTCTCATCTCAAAAGACCAAAAAGGGGTGGGGTCAGGAGCTGGAGAGCTGTCTCAGTGGTTAAGAGCACTGACTGCTCTTCCAGAGGACCTGGATTCAGTTCCCAGCATCCATATGGCAGTTCAAAGCTGTCTGTAATTCAATTCCAGGGGACCCAACACCAATGCACATAAAATAAAAATAAATTAATTAAAAAACAAAGCAAACACAAAGTCAGGTACAAGTTTTTGGTTGTTCCCCTTGGTCTCTCTTAATTTTTTCTGTCTTCACTCCAAGGACCCTTTTTACCTTTTAGCTGTTCTTCCTCAGTGAAGTCAGATATAGCTGACTCACACTGATAACATGCTTTAAATGTTTCAGAAATATGAAACTGAAGACAATCCTTGTTAAAAACTTAAAATTTTTCTTTAATGTTTATTTTTGCGTGTGTGTTACCCTCTGGCCTTTACATGCATGCCAGGTCAGAGACAACTTAAAAGAGTCGTTTTTCTCCTTACACTGTGTGCACTCAGGGAATTGAACTCAAGGCATTAGATGTGATAGCAAGGCCTTTCCCCACTAAGCCATCTCAAAGCCAAAGTTATTGGAAACTTTAGACATCAGTAGTCCAAGAGTGTGTATGAAGAACAAATAGAATTCCATATAAAAACCCTTTGAAGTCATACCAAGTGACTGCTTATCAAAACCCTGCCACCTTCTCCCTGAACCACCAATCTCTGATGGAAGTTCCTTGTATGTCTACAAACACCTCTCAGTAAGCATTAATTAAGATGTTGATAATAGTAATAATTTCTGTCCTAGTGACCTGGACCTGGTTGTTTCCATCTTTTTCCTAGAGAGCTATCAGTCTTGAGAAAGGAGAATGGAGAACTGAAGAAACTTCTAGCCATCCTAAAGGTGAATAAAATAATTTTTGTTTATTTACTTGTTTTGGTTTGGTGTTTCTAGGCATCAATCAAACTCAGGGCCTTGCACATGCTAGATAAATGCTCTATTACTGAGCTAGATTCCCAGATTACCACTGTATAGTTTAGGCTAGCCTTGAATTTACCATTGTAGTTCAACCTGGCTTTGAGCCTCGAACACTTCTGTCCCAATCTGTGTGAAGACTACCACCTATGCCACTGTGCCCAGCTGAAGTAGGTCCTCTTTACTATTATTTTACCTCCTACCTTGTCCATCTTTCTAGGTGGCTTTATGAAACAGTGTTTCCCAGCAAGTGCATAGTGTTTGCACAATAAATACACTGGAGTAAACGAATAAGGGTACAGAAGACCGTGGAGAGTTGAGAGCATCAATAATATTTTTGACCCACTCTGAAATCTCAGTGAATCATGCTATAACTGATGGGAAGCTCTCACCAAAAAGCATATTTCTACTTAACATTTCTTTTGAAGAAGTTCAGGATGCCTCAGGACACTTTCCTTGTTGTTTAACTTTTTTTTTTTTTTGAGATTGATTCTAAAATAGTCCAGGCTTTGAACTCTTAAAAAATTATTATTATTGTTAGTGTGTGTATATCAAAATATGTGTAATATGTGTGATGTGTATGTGATATGTAATGTGTGTGTAAGTACAGTTGGCAGTCAGAGGATAACTTTAGGGAGTCAGTTCTCTCTTTCCACTGTGGGAATGAGGGATCAAATGCAGGTCAGGTTTAGACAGCAAGCATTTTTACCCACTGAGCTGTCTCACTGGACTTGACTTTGAACTCTTTATATACTCAAAGCTAGCCTGGAACTCCTGAGCCTCCTGCTCCATTTTCTTAGTACTGAGATTACAGATATGCGCCATGTGACTAGCTCCTCGGTATGCTCTTATGAAAAGCTAAATTTTTATTCTCTCAGAGCTAGTAATTTTATAAGGAAACACTTTGTCCTCCTGTTGGCAGCCTTGCTAGGGGAGCTTGCAGGTACATTATCTAACAATAATACTGATAGCCATTTACTAGAGCCTTTAACTGCAGCTTCCCTCACTTCCATGTTTTTACCTACAGGGATCTCCAAGCAGCTACTACGGAAGCAGGTCGGTTTTTACCACAGTAACCCTCTACCTTGAAATTTTCTGATTTGTTCTTCAAAACATTTTCAGTTGTACAATTGTATGTGTGTACAATGATGCGTGATTAATGTGTACAGTGTGTACTGATCAATTTACGGTACCTAGCATTTCACTCTTCTTAATCCTTAGCCATTTTCTTATGTGGGGGAGCTTTTGGCTGTTTTTTCTTGGCTTCTAGTTATGTGCACTCCAAGATAGATAAAATGGTTAATGAATTTATCTTTTACTTTTCTGACTCTCTGATAGAAGTGAAATCTTTTTTTGTTTTATTTTTGTGGTACTAGGGGGCTAGGGTTTTTGAATACTTTATCACTGAGCTAGTGTGCTCACTCTTTTTGTGAGGGGTGGGTAATGAAAAAAGAGCATCTCACTCTGTAACTCTGGCTGCCCTGGAACTTACAGAGATCCGACTGCCTCTGCTTCCTGGTGCTGAGCTGAAAGGTTTATGCCACCATGCCCTCTCACCCAGCCCTTCTGGTCCACTTTTTACTAATCATTTTTAAATAGTCTCACTGAGTTACCCAGACTGGTTTTGAAATCTTGATTGTAATGCTCACCTTTGACTATTGAAATAAGAATTCCTACTAATCCTTCGAAAATCTAACATGTAATCTTCTGTAATGACTGCATCAAACAGAGTTGGTATTTGCTTATTCAGTAAATATTCATTCAGTACTTACTGCTTATCTATTTAAGTACTAGGTACACGACACCAAGTCTTTCTAATTAATGATGTCTGTGCTACTAAATATTTTAATGGTGTGTTCAAAAGATATAACACTCTTGCAGTCTCAGAAGTTACTACGTAGTCTTCTTTCAAATTTCTGTATTTTATATATCCATTATAATATATAAACATTGTTGTGCTGGGGTTCTTTTTCTTTGTGATGCTGGAGTGTTAATCTCCAGTTTTGCTAAACAAGTACTCTACCACTCGGTTCTATCCAGGCCTGATTCTGTCTTCTCTCTTAGTAGCCTATGAATCTCTCATAGCTAATTCTTTTAATCTCAAGGCAAAGGACATAGAAATGTTTGTTGACTGGATGGCTGGATGGCTGAGTAGATGAATGAATCAATAGGTATAAGGTTGAGAGTATTTGGTAAGGTGCTACTGGAAGGAAGAAAAGACCCAGAGTCACATTATAAATGAGAGAGAAGTAGAGGAAGATTCCTCTAGGGAATTGGAGAGTGAAGAGACATCAAAATGAAGGCTCCAATTCTGTGTGTTGAGATGATGCCTCTACTACCAGGGAATAAGTACTCTGTGCTTAGAGAAGAAGCATCTGTTTTGTTCTTTCTTTCCTTTTCCTTCTTCCCCTGCCTTTTAAAAGAGATTTTATTTTTAATTGTGTGCCTGTGTGTGTGTGCGCGCGTGTGTGTGTGTGTGCACGTGTATGCACCCACAGAGACCAGAAGAGATTATTAGATCCCCTAGAGCTAGAGTTAAAGGCGGTTGTGAGCAGCCAGAAATGAACTGAAGCCCTCTGCAAGAGCAGTACTTGCTCTTAACCACTGAGCCACCTTTCCGGCCTCAAAGCTGCTGTTTGAATAGTCAGTAGCTGACTGATCCTCTACTGTGGCTTTGCTTCTGCTTGATGAGATCTGAGCTGCCTTTTCTTTTCGTTTCCTTGTAGATTAACCACACCTCGACCAGTGGGCATTACTTCCCCATCACAATCAGGTGAAAAACCAATTCTTTCCAGCTACTGTGTAAGATGAATCTTTTCCTCATGGAGTTATTGTTTTTTCCCCAGAGACCATAATATGACTTTGCTAATGTTACATATAGAGTGAAAAACATTATATAACCAGACAAGACAGAATGCACCACTGATGGCAATTTTTCCTATACTCTGTGCTCTTGCAGTTGCTCCACGACCCAGTTCCCAGCATAGCAGCCAAGTGGTCAGGTGAGTAGAAAACCTATTATTCAACATTGAAACTGTTGAGAAAACTGAAAGATGAATGAGATGACTCACGTTGGTACTGAAGAGAATTACTGCCATGTCACATTTGACACCAGCTTTTTGTGTGTGTTTGTTTTGTTTGCATTCTTGTTTTGTCTCATTTTATATAGTCGCTCTTCTTCTATGGAGTCCATCCCTTATACAGTGGCTGGCTTTGGTAATGTGGAACAGGTAAGTAATAGTCACAGTATTTTTCTAAATTGATGTTTCTAGTGCTTAATGAAAGCAAAACTGTAAATCAAGAATCTTAAATTTATATTGGTTTTGGCACAAATCTTTTCATACCAAGCAGAGTCCATTTTTAGACTAAATATTAGAAAATGACACAGAACCAACAGGGGTTACTATAGAGTAAGCATTCAAGAAAAATGCACCGTATCTGTCATGTTCAGTTTGGAAGTAATAGAGCATAGGTCTTTCTTTTTTTTCTTTTTTCTTTTTAAATATTTTTACTTTCTATTTATTTATTTATTCATTCATTTATTTATTTATTTGTTGAAAAAATTTCCACCTCCTCCCTGCCTCCCATTTCCCTCCCCCTCCTCCCACTCCTCTCCCCTTCCCCCACTCCAATCCCCCTCCCTCTCGAGTCTGAAGAGCAGTCCAGATTCCCTGCCCTGTGGGAAGTCCAAGGTCCTCCCCCCTCCATCCAGGTCCAGGAAGGTGAGCATCCAAACAGGCTAGGCTCCCACAAAGCCAGTTCATGCAGTAGGATGGATGGAGATAGAGACAGAGACCCACATTGGAGCACCGGACTGAGCTCCCAAGGTCCAAATGAGGAGCAGAAGGAGGGAGAACACGAGCAAGGAAGTCAGGACCACGAGGGGTGCACCCACCCACTGTGACAGTGGGGCTGATCTATTGGGAGCTCACCAAGGCCAGATGGACTGGGACTGAATAAGCATGGGATAAAACCAGACTCTCTGAACATGGCGGACAATGAGGGCTGATAAGAAGCCAAGGACAATGGCACTAGGCATAGGTCCTTCTTAAGAGCAGTACGCACAACCTGGGAGAACAATGTATGTGTGATGATTGTTACAGAGAAACAGTGGGGAGCTGGGAATGTAGAGAACCAGGGTATAGTAATTCATGATCATTATTTTTCTGTCAGGGACACAGAGGCCTGCGGGAAAGGAGCATTTCCAGAGACTCTTACACTGGTGAGAGAGGGTAGGGGACGGTATCTGAAGCTGGCATATTCTGGCCAGAGACTAGAAATTTGTAGTGTTCTGTGCACAATGTAATGCTGTTTTCTTTTTTTTGGAAAATGATTCCAGGTATAGAAACATGTTTCAACTAATAATATTTATGTTCTGAAACAAGAAGTGAGAAAATAAAAAGTTGAGGAATAGTCATTGAAAACCTGATCAAAAGCTGGGTGGGGACTTACTTGGCTCAACGAATGAAAGCCTTCTAACCCAAGTTTGATCCCCCAAATACATATAAAAGTAGAAGGAGGGAACCAACTAGAAAATTGTCTTCTGGCCTTTACTTGTGTAGCAGTACGCACCAAGCACACACACACACACACACACAACTTTAAAAAGAAGGAAAAGAAACCTCTAATCAGAATAATTTAACTGAGTTGAGTTTTCAAACTGCCACAAGATGGCAATAGAAATTGAGTCTTAAAAAAAAAAGTTAACCAAATGTCAATGACAACTTGTGTCTACATTTGCTGCCATGGCACACATCCGAAGATCAGAGGGAAAGCTGCATGGAGCCAGGTCTCTCCTTCTACTTCTGTGTGGTTCCAGAACTCAGACTCAGGTCATTGGCTTGAGCAGCCAGCCCTTTATCTCAGCCATCTCCCTAGCCCAGAAAACATCACTTCCAAACCTTGAAAAGTGATTGGCTTTTCCCTGTGCATTAAGGGTAAAAATATGGGCTTTGTTTCTAGTAATAATTTTTCTTGAAGTATGTTTTGTCTGTTACTAGTACAGCCACCCCACCTTTCTTGTTTACTTTTTTCATGGGCTGTATTGTGTGTATGTGGTGCTGAGATTGAATCTGGGGCCTCAAGTATACTCCCACTGAGATACATACTCCCTTCCTTCCTTCCTTCCTTCCTTCCTTCCTTCCTTCCTTCCTCCCTTCCTTTCTTAATTTGTTTTTTCCTTCATTTCAATCAGTGCCGGAGATCAAATATATGCTAGGCAAATGTTCTGCCACTGAGCTGTATCCCCAGCCTGTTTGATTTTCTGTAAATTTCTTTTAACTTAGTGCATATACATATTCACACACACCAACCATGATACACATGTGGATATCAGAAAAGAGCTTTGTGGAGGTGGTTCTCTCCTTCCACTTCAGGTGGGGGTGGCACCAGGCTTGAGTAGCATTGGCTCTGATTTTCTGCCTTTTAATTGGAAGCTTTAATACATTTATATTCAATGTAATTGCTGGTAAGAAAGAACTGCCATTTTGCCATTTCTTTTATATATGACAGATCCTTTTTCATCATTAATTCTTTGTTACTGCCTTCCTTTGTGTTAAATCTATTGTAGTATAGCACTAATAAATTATAGTGTAGCACTTTAGCTCCCTTGTTATTTCTTTTATTATATTCAGAACTGTTTGGAGATTACAACTAACAAATTTTCAAAAACAAGGTTTAAATAAATATCACGTTTAGCATCAGCATTATACTAAAACATCATAATTCTGTAGAATATACTGAGCAACACAAATTTTAAATTATTGCCTTATACAGTTGTCTTTTAAATCTGATGGGGAGGTTACCAAGAAAATTGTACTTAAACTGTCTTTTGTTGTACTTATATAATTCTCTTTCTGCATTTGAATTACTAATTAGTGTCCTTTTATTTCAACCTGAAAGAATCCATTTAGTATATCTTAAAAGGCAAGTTTGAGAGTGATAAATTCACTTTCTAAATTTTTGTTTATGTAGGAATATCTTAATTCCTTCTCCAGTTTTGAAAGGTAGTATTGTTGCATATAAATTTCTGGTTAATAATCTTTGGGAACTTTTTGAGAGCTCTCTGGTCACTGGTATGCCTGATGACAAAATCAGCGTTAATCTTGCTGAGTATTATTTGTGATGAGTGGCTTCTTCTTGCTATTTTTAAGATCCTTTGCCAGGGAGAGGGTATGTAGCACAGTTGGTTGAGTGCTTGCCTAGGATACATGAAGCCCTGACTTGAGGCCTGGCATGTCATAAAGTGGATATGGTGGCACATACCTATAATTACAGCACTGTTGGTTCTCTCCTGTTGGAAACTGAGGCTGGAGGATTAGGAGTTCAAGGTCCTCTTTGACTGCATTCTGGGCTACTTGAGACCATGTCTCAAAAAAAAAAGTTCAATTAATCATTGACTGTTATGACAAAAAGCAAAATATAGGGAAATCTCAGAGAGTACTTTTTTCTCTTCCTTCCTTCCTTCCTTCCTTCCTTCCTTCCTTCCTTCCTTCCTTCCTTCCTTCCTTCCTTCCTTTCTTTCTTTCTTTCTCTCTCTTTCTTTCTTTTTTGTAAGTTAAATGGTGTTGAACACTCTGCCAGCTTTGTTTTTGTTTTGTCTTTGTTTTTGGCATTTGATACAGGATTTCTCTACATAGCTCTGGTCGTCCTGGAATGTACTATGTAGACCAGGCTATCCTCAAACTCACAGAGATACACCTGCCTCTGCCTCCTGAGTGCTAGGATTGAAGGTGTGCACCACCACAACTGGCCAGTTTTGTTTCTTGAGGCAGGGTCTCTCACTGTATGCACCAGGCTGGCCCTGAATTCAAAATTATTCTGCCTTATTCTCCCAAGTACTAAGATTCTGGGCATTTGCCATCATGCCTAGCCTGCTTCTGAAAATTTTTCCAGTATCAAATAAGTGTTTCCCTTATCCTCCGTCCTTCAACTTCACTTCAAACTACAAAATTCACTGAAATATTTTTAGTCTTCTTCCACAAGACCTTCATCAGTTTTCCAGTGTTGATCGTTTTCCCTTTCTCGAAACAGTTTTCATTTTTTGTTCTTATTCTACATTTCTTTTCTTTCTTTCTTTCTTTCTTTCTTCCTTTTTTTGGTTTTTCAAGACAGAATTTCTCTGAAGCTTTCGGAGCATGTCCTGGAACTAGCTCTTGTAGACCAGGCTGGCCTCGAACTCACAGAAATCCGCCTGCCTCTGCCTTCTGAGTGCTGGGATTAAAGGTGTGTGCCACCAATTCCTGGCTCTTATTCTAAATTTCAAATTTCTCTTTGACTTCCCTGACTTCCCTTTGCTAGTTCCTTTTCTATCCAAGTGTAAAAGCAGCACTTCTCAAATGTTTGGATCCTCCATATAAAGGACCTCAGTTCTAGGGATAGTTTTAAAATGAAGAACATCAGGGGTTTGTTATTTATTTAGGCCAGAAGTTGACTTTTGGTGTCTTCCTCAATCACTATCCACCTCATTTAAAACATGCTTTGTTGAAATAGGAGCGGCGGCGGGGCTGCGTCCCCAACACCCCGGCCGCTTGGCTAGCTTATGCCCGAAATAACAACACACAAATTGTATTCATTTAAGAACTGCTTGGCCCATGAACTCTAACCCTTACAGGCTAATTCTCGCACCTGGACTAGCCCATTTCTAATAATGTGTGTAAGCACCCCAAGGTGCGCTTACCGGGAAGATTCTAACCTACGTCCATCCTGGCGTCTCAGCGCAGAGCTATCGTGTCTATCCGGCAGAGCTGAGCATGGCGTCTCTCTGGGAGCAGAGCAGAGTCTGACCTCACTTCCTCTTCCGCCCAGAATTCTATTCTGTTTACTCCTCCCATCTATGTTCCAAGCCATGAGGCCAAGCAGCTGGTTTATTATAACTTAACCAATGAAATCAACAGATTGATATATGACACTCCCACATCAATGCTTTATTAGCTGGGTGTGTTATCGAACACCTTTAACCCCAGCACTTGAGAGACAGAGACAGGCAGATTTCTGTGGTCTAGAAAGAGTTCCAGGACAGCCAGGGCTACATAGAGAGACTCTGTTTCAACACTCTCTCCCAAGAAAAATGTTTAGAATATATTTACTACTTCATTTAGTATGTGCATATGTTTGTGGGTACAAATGTGTCACACACACATTTGTAGACCAGAGGACTACTTTTGAGACAGGTTTTCTCCTTCCCCCATGTGGATTCTGGGGATCTAATTTAGATCATCAGGGTTGGCATCAAGTGTATTACTCACTGAACCACCTCACTGATCCATCCACCTTAATTGCTTAATTTCATTCTTCCTTTTTTTCTTTTCTTTTTTGAGGCAGGGTTTCACTGCATATCCTGGAACTCACCCAGTAGAACAGACTGGTCTCAAAGTCTAAAGATCCACCTGCCTCTCCCTCCTCAGGACTCTGATCAAAGTATCTATTACCATGCCCAGCTTTTGAAAAAAAAAATATTTACTATACCTATCCCCAGGTCAGCCCATTCCTCCTTCCCACCTTCATGTTCTTTTTCTTTTCCTTTTTTTAAAAAAATAATCCACTGAGTCCTGCCTACATGAACATAGGCAATCTACCAGCCACACCACCCAAGAAAAATAACACCCTTTCAATTACCAGTAACTCCTCAGCTGAGGTGAAGTTTCATAGTCCTCCCCTCTCCATAGTGGAATTGTTTACTGCCGGGTAAACCATAACTGTTGGGAGCTCATGAATGCAGTGGCCCATGGCATGTCCAGAAGACAGCGCTTCACAGCACCCCTCCCATCCTTCATCTCTTGCATTTTATTATCCCATCTTCCTCATGTTTCCTGAGCTTTGTGGGGACCATTCATTGTCATCTGTTAGGCAAGGTCTCTCAACTTCTGCTAGACTGGCTGGCCTCAGAGCCCCAGGGACCCAACTCTCTCTGGTCCCATCCATTGCTGGGGTTTCAGGTTCATACTGCAATGCCTTGCCCAGGTTTTGCATGGGTGCTGGGGTTCCAAATGTAGGTCCTCATGTTTACACAGCTTTACCAACTGAGCTATCTACCCTGCCCAGCTCATACTGGTTCTTTTTTATACAGTTTTCTTTCTTGATTTCATGAAACACTATTCTCATCCTTTCTTTTAGCATGTTAATATTATTATTGTATGAGGCAGGGGCAGGAGCTCTAGGGCTAGAACACACATGTGGCAACCAGAGGACAACTTTGGAAGTCAGTTCTCTCCTTCTCCCATA